TTGTCGTTACTACTACTACTACTACTACTACTACGACTACTACTACTACTACTACTACTACTACTACTACTACTACTACTACTACTACTACTACTACTACTACTACTACTACTACTACTACTACTACTACTACTACTACTACTACTACTACTACTACTATTATTATTAAAAAAAAAGAAAATAAAAAACTCTCGTTAGGGCGTTTAGGGCTGGGCGTAGGGTGGGTTTCCAACAGATTTTCCGGCGCCTTTTAGTCCTTTAGGGTCAGGTCAGGCAGGTTTTCCGGCGGCAGTCAAGTCAGGCTATTTTTCGACAGTTTCCAGGCTTCAATTGGTGCAGTTTTTGAGCGAAATTCAGGCTGTTTCGAGCTTCATTGGCGAGATTTTTTAAGTGCAGTTTTCAGGTGGCTTCTTCGTCCTTATTCCAGCAATATCTTCGGCTCAGGGTCGTGTCAATTATCTGTCGTTTTTCCGTCGACGTTTAGGCAATTTCAAGGCAATTCGAGGGCAGTTTCTGCGCATCATTCAGGCTCGTTTCGCGTCGGTTTTCAGACAGGTTCCGCATTGAGGTGCGGCGTCAATTACCTGTCGTTCCGCGTCAATTACCTGTTGTCAATTACAGTTTCTGGGCACAGGGTCGCGTCAATTACCTGTCGTCCCGCGTTCATTTTCCAGCCATTAATAGGTCCGGCGAAGGCTTCCCTTTTTCGGCGGTTCAAGCTGCGATTTAGGGCCGTTTTTCAGGCAGCATTAAGGTGGTTCGCGGCGTCTGTTATCAGGACTTTTTGGCTTCATTTTAGGTCTGATTTTGGGTTGATTAGTGGGAAGCCGAGATATAATCTGGGCTCCCACTCCTCTAGCTATAGAAAAGCCTACCCTAGTGAAGATAAAAGCTGCCGCACGAGCCCCAATGTCTTGCGCCGTCGAGAACCTCTGAACCCGCTTCAATAACGTAACATAATCCTTTTCTAATTCCTCAAAAAGAGAAGAAAAGGAGAAGGGAATGAAACCGTATCCATTTTCCTGACAACGAGCGTCGTACTTAGCCCGCTTCCGATGTACCGCTTCAGCCACATCCCGTCCAGGGACAAAGTCAGCTAGCCCTGACTGCGTCAAAGGGGAAGAACCTGTGAAGTCAACACATACATCATGACGACGATCCCATTAGTAAAGTAACACATCAGCAGGTCTGAGGGCCCCGTCATTTTCTCCAGCCAATCCTACGTCAACCTCCTTTCTTACTGAAATACCAGATATGTAGCAAATATCCTCAAAGGTATCCCAAACAACATTATGCCGATGTTTAACACCCACAATACCAGCACACGACACAACGTGGTCTCCGAAAAAATCCCCTGAAAAAACCCGAGAACAAGCAGAGCACGGCGTCGAGACAGAGAACAATGGAACACCCAGTCGGTAACACAGCACACATCGGTTTGTCTTCGCGTTCATCGTCTGACCCAACCCAGAAATAGGGACAGCCCGTAGTGAAGCAGAGGTGTGAACTCCTTGCTGCGATTTCCACAAAGCTAACTGGCGAGGAGATAATGAGAAGGTAGACTCTGCAGAAGCGGTAATCTTTGTGAAATATATATCTGCCAATTTCTTCATGAGTTTAGGGGCAGCGACCTCACTAGGATTACTCAAAATGTCAGACTCAACCACTCCATTATAAAGGAGCAACGCATCCTTGAAGGCTTGACCAAGGCCAACAACACCAGCATGTTGTAGAAGCTTAGTCTGCAATCCAGCAGACTGCAACCGAGAGGCAAGATAGGCATAATGACGAACATCACCTGCAGAATAAACACCAAGTCCGCCAAACGCAAACGGTAAGGTGGCAATCCGCCACTGCCAATCACCAAACCCAGGCCCGGAAGCAATAATGATACGCTCCAAGGAAGATCGATGAGCCTCGTCGAAAGCGCGTTGAGCCACCTCAAAAGTACTAGGGGGACAAGTACGCAAAGCAAAGTAGAGTTTAGAAACTCCGGTACAAGCCCTAAGTAACAACAACTCATTATTATTATCATTATTATTATTATTATTATTATTATTATTATTATTATAATAAAAACCTACAAAGTCAATTGATTTACAAGAAACTAGTGGGGAGCCGAGATACAATCTGGGCCCCCACCCCTCTAGTTATAGCGAACCCGATCCTGTTGAAGATATGAGCAGCTGCACGAGCACCAATATCTTGAGTCCTAGCAAACACCTGAACCCGCTTCAGCAACGCAACAACATCCTTCTCTAATTCCCCCAATGAAGAAAAGGAGAAAGGAAGAAAACCATTGCCAATTGCCCTGCAACGCGCCCCATACTTGTCCCGCTTCCGCTGAGCCGCAGCCGACACAACACGACAAGGATCAAAGTCAGACAACCCAGATTGAGTCAAAGGAGAAGACCCCGTCAAGTCAACACATAAATCAAGACCTCTTTCCCAGGAATAAAGCAACACATCTGCCGGTCGAAGAGCCCCGTCATTCCCTCCAGTTAACCCAACGTTAACCTCCTTCCTTGCAGAAATCCCAGAGCGGTAACAAATATCAACAATGGTATCACGAACAACGTTGTGCTGATGTTTAATACCCACCATCCAAAAACAAGACACTGCATGATCCCTATAAATATCCCCATCAAGAACCCTAGAGCAAGCAGAACACGGAGTCGAAACGGAGAACAAGGGAACACCCAACTGGTAGCAAAGAACACAACGGTAAGTCTTACCATTCATAATCTGACCCAAACCTGATATCGAGACCGCTCGCAACCAGGTAGATGTGTAATCCCCCTGCTGGGACTTCCATAAGGCGACCTGACGCGGAGATAAGGAGAAAGTGGATTCTAAAGATGTAGTGACCTTCGCGAAATATATATCTGCCAATTTCTTCATGAGGTTAGGGGCAGCGATCTCACTAGGGTTACGCAAAAGGTCAGTCTCCACAGTCCTATTAAAAAGACTAAGAGCGCCATCGAAGGCCGGACCTGGACCATCAATACCAGAATTGTGAAGAAGCGAAGTCTGAAGACTAGAAGACTGCAAACGCGACGCAAGGAAAGCATAGTGACGAACATCACCCGCTGAATAGACACCCAATCCACCATAAGAAAAAGGTAAGGTGGCAAGTCGGCATTGTCAATCACCAAAACCTGGCCCCGAAGTAGTTACAATGCGCTCCAAAGAACCTCGAAGGGCCACATCAAAAGAAACCTAGGCCGCTTCAAAAAGACGAGGAGGACACGTACGCATAGAAAAGTAGAGTTTTGAAACCCCAGTACATGCACGAAGTAGTAACAGCTCACATTGGGGATCCTCAAGCTTAGCAACAGCATCCATGAGCTCAATGGTCTTCGAAACTCTTTGCGAAACAAGCTTACCACAGAAAGAGGCATCCGCACTGACAGGACCACCAAGAAACTTAACACCATGAATAGGACGAGCAATAACTGGAGGAAAGACACCGGCCAAACGGCTACGTGGGTCCTCCGTGGGCCAGAAAACTTCCGTTTTCTCAACGTTAACATGGAGGCTGAGACAAGGTCCCTCCACCAAAATCAACTCCATAACCTTCCCTACCACCAAGGTGTCACCAATAATAGTGCCATCATCAAAATACCAAGCCTGCAAACATAAGTCGAAAGAATCCCTGATTCAACAAACCAACGGATGGAGCACCAAAGCAAAAAGCAAAGGGCCAAGAGGATCACCCTGCTGCACACCTTGACATGACCTTAAGGTATGCTCCCCATAAAACAGTCTAGCTTGAGTAGAGTAACAGAGTTCAACCCAACGCGAGAGAGCTGGACAACGGAGACGGGCCTCACGCAGTAAAGTCGTACGATTAACCAAATTAAAGGCATTCCGGAAATCCACTAGCAACATAGAGAGGCCAACATCACCACCACGAGCCTCAACCAAACGATTAACAACATGAAGAATAGCCTCACCACCCGCCGGCACACCAACACCAAACTGAAGACCTCCTAAATAGTTTCCCAGACGCGGACCAATTAAAGCAGCCCCAACCTTTGAAACCAGACGCCTCCAAACAGTACCCACAACAATAGGTCGAATACCACCACCAGGCTTAACAAGTGGCGTGAGAGGAGCACTGGCGATGTATTCTCCCAACACATCAGGATATTTCCCAGCGAGAAAGAGATTAACCACCTGCATTATAGAGTCTACCAACTCATCCGAAATAGCAACTGCAGCACCACCCAAGCAATCCATAAGGTGTTGGGAGCCAAGCATATTTATTATTATTATTATTATTATTATTATTATAATTATTATTATTAACAAGTGCATACCATTGATTTAGGTGAATGAAAACATAAATAGATGTGTATCATCTTTAACATATGTTAATAGTAGAAAAATAAAAGACAATAGTTTAACATCTTCAAATTATTACAACCACATATCAAAATAGGAACATAATTAGATAAGAGTTTAACATCGTGGTAAATTAACCATCTACTTCCATATGATCTTCATTTTCATCATCTTCGTTGTCGCTTTGATCTTCATTGTCATCACCTTCATTGTCGCTTTCCGATCGATTAGCCCTCCAAATTCGGCGTGCTATACGATGTCGCACTTTGACCATACTATCTTTGCGCTATTGTGCAAGCATAGTTGAATTTGCTACTCCTATATTCGCATCATGTTAAATGATTGGTATGCCAAGCGTATGCATCCGAATAAAATAATATTTTAGTTTTATTATTAAATATGAAGTATTATTATTCTCTTGTGAAAAAAATATTATGTGTTATTATTATGATCAATATATATTTAGAAATTGTATAAATTATTACTAATTAATATTATTATAAATATTAATAATTTTTATTGTGAATTATTAATTATTATTATTAAATATTAATTATAAATTATTATTACTATTATAAATTATTTATTTTAAAAATATTATAATTATTATATTTATTCCAGAGCAGAGCAAAGCAGGGCAGCTCTAAAGAATAGGGCCTTATACAATACTAAAACTTTTATTTATTTTTGCTAGGCAAATGAGAAAATTTTGTCAAAGCAAGATAAGATTACACAAACATAAGGACATATAGAAACACCAATAGATAAAGGGATGAAAGAGCCTTCTCATAGGAAGATCCACTAATACGATTATTGATTCATTATACCTAAGAAGAACAAAGTAACAATTTTTTTTTTTTTGACATGAAATTGATTCAATAACTTGAAAACACTAAAATTACTTGGAAGGATGAATTTTGAATTCCAATCCAGAACCCGCAAACTTCAGTTTTATCACTTGATCCAATCGTTCAAACATGAGAGGGCTTAAGTGATTAACCCAATCACCAATTTCCCCCTTTCGGAAAAAAGTCTTATTTTGTAAATTAGATAATTTCGATGTTTTAAGTATTCCCGTCTTATTCACCTCCAATTCCTTCAAATTTTTCAAGCTACACAGCTCTAAAATCTTTTCAATAACCCCTTGTTCTTCCTCCTCTAAGGAGAATTCACACCCTAAGAACTTTGCCAATCTCTTCAGCTCTACGACCCCATCTTCCTTCAAATCTTCGTACTTTAAAAACAACACCTTATTCGGCGTATCCAAACTTTGCTTCCAGTAGCCTAAAACATGATCCCAATGTGGTCCACCGGGTTCCATACCCCTACAAGATAAATCAAAGTAAGTTTCAAAGGAAACACCATTCTTACTTTTCACTAGCTCATTCGATGAAGTGAAGTGCCACCCTGAAACTAGCACATCAAATGGATTTCGAGCTATATACACTATTTTGCACGCGCTCTCCTTCATGGACTTATTAAGAGTTACATAAGGGTCATGCGTCGCGAAAATCCTAGGGGAGGAAATTTGGTTTAAACCAAGAGCATTATGATCATCACCCGTATAAAAATTTGTCAAAAAGGGTACTAATTCATGAGGGTTATGGGTAAGCAAAGGGTGATTGGTATAGGTAAACTCGGTACGATGAATAATAGAATATACCAAAGATTTTAACCAAGTTGTGCCACATTTTGGCTTGCTAACTAAGATAATGTCTGTGTCTTGAGCTTGGAATTTTTGTTGAACTTTGATAACTGAGGGAAGCATTCTTGAGACGTGCCAACATCCTTGGTAAAATGAAAGTTCAAGACCAGGAATTTCTGTGTGTTTTGGAAGATTTGTTAGTGATAATGTTTCATTTATTTCTTCTTGGTTGGTATTTTTCTCATCATGTTTCACAATTATAGGAGGGTTCATTGTGTTTCGGTATTTTTCTAATTTTTTGTGGATTTCAGCTATTGCACTTCTTAGCTTGAAATTGTTTTTTTTATGAATTGTCTTATGTTACTATCGTATTGTTATATACTAACCCCACGTTGGCCTACACCTTTGTAACTACTCTGTAAACTATTTTCACTTATTTTATTCCAAATAATTAAAGTTCAAGTATTATGCTTTTTTCTTTGTCACCTCATGGTTCAAAATTGCAATGTCGGCCATGATGCAGACTTAGCTTAGACATGTGCGCAAAATACAAGTTGATCAATTTGATCAACTTGTTTCGTCAACCAACAGAGTAAAACAGTCTTTTCCATTATTAAACCTGGGGCATTTAGATAATAGCATTTATGTTGACTCAACAGCTTTGCCACACTCGCACGTCTACGTGTATATGCTTGAGTAACAACATTTCCAAGGTTGATCTATCACATCGTTACGTCAATTTTGGCCGTTATCTCCTCAACTACCCCATTTCATCGGTGCACGTACTCCCCTTTTAAGTATTCAATTTTTTTGTTTTTTAAATTCATGTATTGATATTACCCAAATTGTGACCTCAAATTGGGCGTATTACTTTGTTTTAACACTATGACCGCAAATTACACTATACCCAATATCATATTGCTTAAGTAATTAAAAAATTACTAACTACTGGGTGGCGTCTGGCCGGGGCACCATAGCCACGGTGGCGGCGTCCCGACCAGACGCCACCCAGTGGTTCGTAATTTTTATTTATTTTATTTTTTTTTTGGTTTTTGAACTTTGATACTAATTTGAAATATTATGTGTTAATAATTTAAAAAAAAAAAAAAAATCAATGACATAAGAACTTGACAGTGACGCTCAGCTACAGCACACTCTAACGTACGTTAAATCAATTGTACTCTTACTCAGCAGCTGACTAACTGCCATCATTCATAGCCCCCCTTATGTGGATGTTTGTTGCACTTTATTTAAAAAAAACCAATTTTGATTGACAAGTTAAATTGATCAACAAGATCAATGGGGGCGCGCTCAAAGATTTGGGTCATAATGTAGACATAGCTTCGAGGTGTTAACAATCATCCCGATTCGATCTGATTCGAAAAAAACATCTAATTAAATTTTGACTCATATAAACACAATTATATAATATGACTTAACTTTAAAATAGACCAAACCAACTCGACTCACAAATTACTTGGCCTAGCTAGGTATCCAAATTGACACCTCTAAATGCAACGATGATAATTGCAAATAGAATTCCATACCTACCTCTCCCCCTATTATTCACAATCCATTAATATCAAATTCATTGTAAGGCCCCATTCACTTCACCTTAAAAAAATAATATTTAGTGCAAAAAATTTCAGTTCAGTAAAAAATAATTTCAGTTCAGCAAAAATAATTTAGTTCAGTAAAAATAATTTCAATTCAGTAAAATTCAGTAAAACTTTAAAGAGGAAATATATATACCACAAAATCAGTAAAAATAATTTCAGTTCAGCAAAAATAATTTCAGTTCAGTAAAATTAATTTCAATTCAGTAAAAATAATTTAAGTACAGTAAAAATAATTTCAGTTTTCTAATGTTGGTTGTTCTCTAATATGGTTGAATATTAAAAGCACATTTAATGAGTTTGGTGTAAATTAGTCATTACAGTTGGCCAAAAGTTATATAGATATTTTAAGGTACTCCCTCTGTCCCTAATTTTTTGCCATATTTGACTTTTCACGGTGTCTAAGGCACGTCTTAATTCATACATAACTCCATTTTTATACGCATAAAAAAAATATTAAAACTAGTTGTTAATAAAATATACAATGAGACGAATGTAACCCGACCTCATATGACTACATTAACTCTTATTGATGAATAGAAATTTATGGTCAAAGTTTTTGAAGTTTGACCCATTTATTTGCAATGGGGCAAAAAATAGGGACAAATGGAGTATTTAATAGTCATAAATTTTATGCTATCATGGATAACGCTTAAAAAATGTGCTGAAAAGATATTCCCTAAATTTCATAAAATTCTTTCTATTTCCTTCAACTGAGTTTCATGAATTATTAATCACTTTTACTTTATTAATTTATCAAAAATTACAATTGTTTTACCCTAATTAGCACAATGTCTGACCTTTACTCATTTTTAAGCAAATTCATAGCACAAAAATGTTCTATTAACAGTACCACAAAAATTTTAAACACCATAAAATAGTTCAAAAAAATCGATTTTACCACAACCAAACATTTTGCATCCAAATATCTGTTAAGTATGGTCCACATTGTCACGTGTCATCATATTATTGGTTAAAAAGAGAAAAATTTAAAATAATTTTAAAAAATAATAAAAACCCTTAAACCAACCCAGCCACACATCATCACCCCTTCCCTGCCACACCCCACAGCCGCCACCCTACCTCCAGCGCAACCCTCCTCAGCTCAACCACGTTACTATCGTATTGTTATATACTAACCCCACGTTGGCCTACACCTTTGTAACTACTCTGTAAACTATTTTCACTTATTTTACTCCAAAAAATTAAAGTTCAAGTATTATGCTTTTTTCTTTGTCACGTCATGGTCCAAAATTGCAATGTTGGCCATGATGCAGACTTAGCTTAGAGATGTGCACAAAATACAATACAAGTTGATCAATTTGATCAACTTGTTTCGTCAATTAACAGGTAAAACAGTCTTTTCCATCATTAAATATAGGGCATTTGGGTAATAGCATTTATGTTGACTCAACAGCTTTACCACACTCGCAGTCTACGTGTATATGCTTGAGTAACGACGTTTCCAAGGTTGATCTATCGCATCATTACGTCAAGCCGTTATCTCCTCAACTACCCCATATCTCATCAATGCACCTACTCCCCTTTTAAGTATTCAATTTTTTTGTTTGTTAAATTCATGTATTGATATTACCCAAATTGTGACCTCAAATAGGGCGTATTTCTTTGTTTTAGCACTATGATCTCAAATTACACAGTACCCCAATATCATATTGTTTAAGTAATTAAAATATTACGAACTATTGGGTGGCGTCTGGCCAAGGCGCCATAGCCACGGTGGCGGCGTCCCGGCCAGGCGTCACCGCCACGGTGGCGGCGTCCCGGCCAGATGCCACCAAGCAGTTCGTTATTTTTATTTTTTATTTTTTTTTGGTTTTTGAACTTTGATACTAATTTGAAATTAAATATGTGTTAATAATTTAAAAAAAAAAATCAATGACATAAGGACTTGACGGTAACGCTCGGCTACAGCACATTCTAACGTACGTTAAATCAATTGCACTCCTACTCAGCAGCTGACTAACTGCCATCATTCATAGCCCCCCTTATGTGGATGTTTGTTGTTCACTTTATTTACAAAAGAGTCATTTTTATTGACAAGTTAAATTGATCAACAAGATCAATGGTTGCGCGCTTAGAGATGTGGGTCATAATGCAGACATAGCTTCGAGGAGTTAAAAATCATCCTGATTCGACCTGATTCGAAAAAATATCTAATTAAATTTCGACTCATATAAACATAATTATATAACATGACTTAACTTTAAAATAGACCGAAACCAACTCGACTTCACGAATTACTTGGCCTAGCTAGGTATCCAAATTGACACCTCTAAATGCAACGATGATAGTTGCAAATAGAATTCCATATCTACCTCTCTCCCTATTATTCACAATCCATTAATATCACATTCATTGTAAGGTTCCGTTCACTACACCTTAAAAAATAATATTAAGTAGAAAAAATTTCAGTTCAATAAAAAATAATTTCAGTTCAGCAAAAATAATTTTAGTTCAGTAAAAATAATTTCAGTTCAGTAAAATTCAGTAAAACTTTAAAGAGGAAATATAACATAAAATCAGTAAAAATAATTTCAGTTCAGCAAAAATAATTTCAGTTCAGTAAAATTAATTTCAATTCAGTAAAAATAATTTAAGTAAAGAAAAAATAATTTCAGTTCCCTAATGTTGGTTGTTCTCTAATATGGTTGAATATTAAAAGCACATTTAATGAGTTTGGTGTAAATTAGTCATTACTGTTGACCAAAAGTTATATAGATATTTTAAGGTACTCCCTTTGTCCTAATTTTTTGCCCCATTTGACTTTTCACAGTCTCTGAGGCACGTCTTAATTCGTATATGCGTAAAAAATATATTAAAACTAGATATTAATAAAATATACAATGAGATGAATGTAACCCGACCTCATATGACTACATTAACTCTTATTGATGAACATAAATTTATGGTCAAAGTTTTTAAAGTTTGACCCATTTATTTGCAATGGGGGGAAAAAATAGGGACAAATTAAGTATTTAATATTCATAAATTTAATGCTATCATGGCTAACGCTTAAAAAATGTGCTGAAAATATATTCCCTAAATTTCATAAAATTCTTCCTATTTCCTTCAACTGAGTTTCATGAATTATTGATCACTTTTACTTTATTATTTTATCAAAAATTACAATTGTTTTACCCTAATTAGCACAATGTCTGACCTTTATTTATTTTTAAGCAAATTTTGATTTTTCACACCATAACATAGCACAAAAATGTTTTTTTAACGGTAACAAAAAAAATATAAAACACCACAAAATAGTTCAAAAAATCAATTTTACCACAACCAAATTAAACATTTTGCATCCAAATATTTGTTAAGTGTGGTCCACATTGTCACGTGTCATCATATTATTGGTTAGAAAGAGAAAAAATTAAAATAATTTAAAAAAAAAATAAAAACCCTTAAACCAACCCAGCCACATATCAACACCCCTCCCCTGCCACACCACCACAGCCGCCACTCTACCTCCAGCGCAACCCAGCTCAACCACCGGAATCTGTCTCCTCCTTTCCCCCACCTTAAATCCGTGAAATCTTCCACCCAAAACGACTCCTTTCCCTAAAAATGACCACGAAATAAGTCGGTTTAGGGTCAAAATCGACCACTCAACCCCAAAACCAGCCAATATCATCGACCTTTGGTGGCAAATTTTGATGGTTGTTTTTGGGGAAGGGCTACCGTTTTGGGTAGGGAAACGGGTTGTGGCTGGTTTGGAGGTGAAGAAAAAGGGG